GAACAATGGGTATTCGGAGGTTTATGCTGAGAAAGCAAAAAATGTTTTCTTTTCATCATTCCTGATTGTTGTGCTATGACATTGATGACTGCCATTCAAGAAAACATTGCGGATGGCAACATTATATTTTCAGACTGCTGGAAAGCATATAAGCAAGAAGAACTAAGAAATGCTGGGTATGAACATTTCACTGAGAATCGCAGCTATAATTTTGCAGATCCTGAAACTAGATGCCATACGCAAATGGTGGAGCAATTGTGGGGCAATGCTAAATGGAGAAATAAATGTCAATTTAAAATGTAATAAATAAATAAAGAATCATATTTAATAGAAATTGTGCGGCACTATATTCAAAAACTCAAAATTTTCCTGCAATATTGAATAATATTTATAATTTTATGCCACCTGTTTAGATTGTATATAGTTTTGTTTTGATATTTTTTATTTATGTGTAGAATTTTCTAAGTTAAAAAATTAAGAATAAAAATTTACCTTCTTTAACAATTAAGAAATTTTAAAAAAATTACATTTTACAGAATTAATTGTTTTTATTCTTTTGAACTCTGTTATTATTTTATAATTTAATACATGGCAAGAATTTGTGGCCAAAAAAAGTGACACATTTTTCACTGACGCCGCTCTAACAGAACAGTACCAAAAACAGACTATAAACCTTCATAAAACTAACACAAGAATATAAACATAAGCATATAAACACAAACATAAACAGTCATATCAATAAGTATCGCTGCATCATGTGTGCTCTAATCAGTACTTCTAAATACATTATAAAGTTCTAATCGATGAGCGATGAAATACAGATTAACAAATTGTAAAAGTTTATGTATGAAATACTTGTTAATATAATTTCATTCGGTACTATTCCGTTTTGAGGACCGTAAAAAATCGGCAAACTATTGTTGATGCCAGTGCTGCCACAATAACTGTGGCAAACTTAACGCAAAAAAGGAAGTATAATAGTAAATAATTATCTAAGATTATTGTTTTAATTTAGATGAAAGCTTAATTTCCCATAATACTTTTTTATTATTATAATTTATATAAAAAAAGGCTAAACATAACTGAATGGAAGCATAAGAGTAAATAACTATTTCAAATCATTATTACAATTTATATTAAAAAAGGCTAAACATAACTGAATGGATTCTTGCATCGCTATTTCACTACCGAGTTATCGCTAAAGCATAATTTCATCTCATTGGTTGTTCAAAACATAATTTGGTTGATCTTTACAATATGGTAACTGGTAGTTTGGCGACATCTTGGAGGCAATAAAGGTTACTACCTGGGACTTTGGTAATAATGTGAGCAGTACTCAGTTCCGATTACGCATTATTTTGCGTGAGGGAAATGAGAGATCATGGATATGTCGTGATATTAATGGACGAATTACGGTTCTTTAAAAAATCGAAAAAGGGGGGAAATCAGGAAAAAATGTGAAAATTTTGTATTTAGCTTTATACTGTGTTGTGTGAAAACAGTGTTTTGTTTAAAATTTTTTTGGGATCCCATGGCCCTAACTAAAGTTAATTCGAAATGGGTATTTAGGCATTGTGATAAAGAGAAGTTTGCTTTTTTATTTTAGCGGAGGAAGTATGGAGGAAAAAATGGAGGAAAAATTCGCAGAAAAAAATCTTGCAATAATTTTATTGAATGAATTAGAAAAGTGTATCCGCCACGCAATCAAGATTCTGAAGAAGATTAGGTAAGTTTAGTATTTTTTAATTATTTTGAGTATTTGAGGATATTATTTTTATGCATTGTTCTAAATGTAAGGTGGAAAGGAATTTGGTATTATTGGGAAAATTGTTATTAATTAGCAATGATTTAGTTTAAAGTAATTAGGATTGTAAAGTAATTTTTATTTAATTTAATGTATGTGCTCATTTAATTTTAAGTAGTGGTTTTGAAGTTAATTATATTTTAATGAAATGATAGTTATTTTGTGAATTTTTCTGTTTGTAGGAATTTGGTATATGTTTAAGTTGAAATAAACATGCATGGAAATAATTTAAATATTTGATACTAAGTATTTGTAATGCTTGCGGTATGAATTCGTTGGTGACGTGTATAATGTAATAGATGATTTAGAGGTAAAAGTTTTTGGATTTTTTATTTTATTTATTTTATATGTGGAAATGTTCATATTTGTAAAGGGTAAATACTTTTCCGCGATCAGGTAATTTTCATGTATGTTCTTTTTACCGGGTTTAAAGATTGAGAAAATTGTCATGTATTTTCGTGAAATTTTTCTAATTTATGAGAAAAAAGCAGTGTACATGGATATAGTGAAGAGTGTGCGCAATGCCATTTTTGTGCAATTCTGGGATGTTTTTTTTAAGTAAAAAATAAGTCGGCGTGTACATGGTTTATGTGTATGTGTTATTTTTTGAAAAACGCGTAAGGAGTATGGTATTTGTGCACTTTTTCCCAATTTTTGCAGTGAATATTTGTTCATGATTAAGCAGTTTTGTTTGATAAAATTTCTAGCATAAGTGTAATTCGGCTAGTAGATTGTTGGAAGAAGTGTTCAGTAGATAAAAGAAAAGAAAAACATGTCTTTACTTCGTGAAGACAAAATGGTGGCGGGAAAAAAAAAAATAGAGGGTTGCTGTAGATGAGTTGGTTGCCAAATTTTCGCCAAAAAATCGCCAAGTTACCATAATGTAAAGATCAACCCATAATTTTCTATAGTGAATGATGCCTTTTCTTTGAAAAAATTCTATTGCATACTTTTCGTCACAGCCAATTCCCAAATTGTTAAATCCATAGGATATCAAAAAAGGATTTAAAAATTAAACTAGTATTTCAATGGCATCTTAAGAAATATAGAACTATCTAAATTTACAAAATTTGAAACCAGTGCATACACTAGATTTGGCGCACTGTTAAATGGCCGTGTTTGCTAGATTTGGCACTTTTGCGCATATATTTTTGCTGCAATTTTTTTACAGTTCTCAAAATGGAATAGTACCTTTCATTTTTATAATTAAAAAAATAAAAGGGTACTTTTCCATTTTGCCGGCGCAAGCGATAAAGTCGCCAACAATGGAACAACCGATGTCAAACGAAATATTCTCGCTGGTAACATTTTATGCCTCATTTTCAAAACAAATCGCAGCCTTATCAGATCGATTGTTTCTTTCAATACTGGCATATAATTACATAGAATTTTTATCAGATAGTTCAGTTTTATGTCTATGGCCATTTTCGGTAATTAAGTCAACTAGGATGCAATCACAGCTCTTACCCGAAGCCGAAAATATAGAAAAGGAAAGTCAAGGGTTAAATTCATTAATTCTAATGAGAATGCATTAGTAAAGTAAAGCACTGCAGTTTTACATAATTTCTGAGTAAGCTATTCGTACGCATTGAAATATTTCTTGCATTTAAACTTGTGTTCCAAATTAAGATTTAACTTGAAATTAATGTAGATAATTACTGAGAGCATTAGATTTTTGTAGAGTAGTTTACGTGAGATGAGATTGCTTGGGGTCACTTGATATGAACCAGCGAATTAGGATGTTGAACCATGCAAGCATAGTAAATTCTTAAAGTAATGTCTTTTTACAAATTTATTGTCTTTATTTATTGACTTTTTATAAAGTTTTAAGTGATATTAAAATGTTTATGCCTTCAAAAAAAGAATTCTTACAACTAAATTTTTTAAAATATTTTTTATGTGTATACTGTATGTTGTCGCCAATAAAGTCTGCTTGGCGAGATTTGCGCCGGCGAAACGGAAAAGTACCAATACAAGTTATAATTTATATATAAAAAATTATGCTTTTTTAATATGATTAAAATAATCACATTTTGGGGGCTGGCAAGATTTTATATATGCAGGATTTAACTGCATTCTACAGTTGAGGAATTATAGTGCAATTATGAAAATCTGGAATTCTATTTTACTATTTATCCGTACATTTTATAAATATTTTAGGAGTAAACCTAAAAGATTATTTATAAATTAATTCTTAGGACTTAAACTGGAGTTAGTTATATTTCAAATTGGAGTTCACGTTTTTTTAAGGGTTATAACATTTTTTATATTACATATGTAAACTCTGAAACTTCATGACTTTGGAAAAAGGAATTGGCCACCGCAATGAAATCAGTAGAAAAGTTCTAAAATATGGCTAATCAACTAATCTAGTATTTAACAAACCTCCTTTCAAATTATTATTTTTTTTAAACATTTGAAGAACTCTAAATGCATATTCTTAATCCTTAACTTCATTTAGCGAGACAGAAAATTCTTTCAATACAGTATCTATGTCACATTCTTTTTTTCTATTTGCATATATTAATAGATAACAAACAATCATGCAACAATTTTTCTTTTTCTAACAGTATTCAAGATAGGTATGATTTCCTATTAGTGATCAGAGTATAAAACTGAATAACATGTGAAGTCCCCAGTGTCCTACTCAGCTTTCATATGCCTAAATCATGTACCTTAAAATGAAAAGCCTTGAAGTGCTTGAAAAATATATTTTGATGGCTAATTTAGATTATTTATAAATGCACGCACTAATCACAGAAAATAGTTTTCAAGACAGCAATATATTTTCACTTAATAAAAGTTGTAATACTTGTATGATGCAATATTAGTTAACTAATAGTTTCAACAGTCCTCGAATATTTCATAATTATCGATAAGCAAATAATTTTTCAGTAAAGTCCATTTTTGACGTTTTAAAAAACATCAAAAATGGACTTTGCTGAAAAATCAAAATCATATTTCTTACATGAAATATAAAAATTCACTATTTAACTTCCTTATTAATATTTACCATTATTATGTAAAATACTAAACAGTAAACAATTTTTTTAGCGGGCAAAAACTCCTGAAGCATCGTACTTGTACTTAAACCAACAAGGAAATGTGCACTACTATTTATCTCATAATTGTCTCAGATAATATTGGTGCATTCACAGATTAATCAGAAAAATAATACAAAAGATGTAAAACTTACTGCCGCACCAGCAAGTGCATGGACAACAGTTTCATATGACAACAACTGTTTAGCACTCATATTTTTGCTGAAATGAATCTACGTAAATATACCGGCAGCGGGATATTTAACTCTTTTCCTCCGCCTGTTATGATGATGATGCATGTTGGGAAACGATGACTAGAAGGGCTAGCTCATACAGCTTTTTCCCCTGAAGCAGAAAGTGATAAGTGATAACGTAGTCATGATGACACAGAGCGCGCAGATGCAATTCACAGCTTGGATATTAGCGTTTTTGAACCAGCTTTTAAAATGAGCTGTGTGTGAAAGATAGCTATAATTTGGAAGAAGCAATGTTACTGCTTTATGCATTTTAGACTGAACCATTAAAAAATTTAATAATGCTTACTCAATGTTAAAATAATAGATAAAATGTGCTACTCTTTTAACATAAAGTTCCGTGGTTTTTTTTTTTTTTTTTTTTTTTTTTTAATTTTTATTTGCAGGTTTTTTTTTTTTTTTTTTTTTATTTAATGCACGTTTATTTCTAATCATTTCTTTATTTGCATTCTAACTGAGAGAATTTTTATACTGCTTCTAAGATAACTATAATAGCAGCTATTTAAATTTACTCAAAAAACAACTTTACATTGACATAGATTTAAACATATATCACATATATGGCAACATTTCTGCTAACCTACTTTTGATATTTTGCCTAATTGTAAATTTTACATTGTTATAAGTCTCTTCCGATTCAATATAATAGATATTTTTTAAATAATTTTGTAATTTATACTTATATCTATATTACAATTAAATAAATGTATATAAAACTGTTACCTTAATTTTTGACAAAATAGCTTTATTCAGAGTACCTAAAACAGTTATTTAATTTTTCAAAAGTGTGAGTAAAGGAAGCAGGTCTTTTTATGCCAATTACTTTGATGTTTTATACTATTATATTTTTATCTAGAATGCTAATCTAGCACAAAATCTAATCAATAATTAGTTACAAAGGATACAATAAGAATAACTTTAACAAGTACTTAACAAAATTAGTTTGTTAAATACTTGTTATTCTCTGTTTGGTACTATTTCATAATACCGAAGATATTATCGATTAACTCATAGAAGTCAGATGCTTTCTGATTTCCTGTGGGGTGGAGTATACCTTTTGCGGTCCTTTTTGAAAATAATGTTTTCTCTGGAGCGACTTTTTGTCTCTCGTTTCCCTTAACCATTAAATAATTCGGTTTTAGTCTGCGACACAATTTGATTTCTTCTCAATTTCTATTTAAAAAACTCTTTAATAATATCAAAATTTGAAACAGTTCCATCTTCTAAAACAAATCCTTTATCTAAAACGTGGTTTCTCAGTAATTTGAGGCAGAGCGCGAAATGAGACCTCTGATTAAAACAAACTGCACATTTTGAAAAGAACCGAGAACTTGGTCCAGTTTAGAGTCATAGCAGAGTTTTCACTCTATATGCATTTCGTCGAAACTGAGAACGCATATTTTTCTACAGAATACAAATATTCGCCTCTTTCCTTCTTTAGAGTAAGAACATTACTTTGAATTCTTGGACTACACTAAAATTTAGCGCACCATTTCTTTAATTTGCTAATACTAGGTAAAGATATTACAATTTTTTCTTAATTTTTTTCTTTCCAAAAATCATAGCTTTAAGATGACAGAGCTCTTATGACAATGCAAGACCAATGCTATTCTCAACACCGGTGCGATTAGCCGCTTAAGCTATTCGCACCAAAATTAATCACGCATGCGCATTGAATTGTCAAAGGCGGGTTTCTACCTTGGCGTAGTTTATCATTTTTTAAGCGTTGGCGACTTTCAAAAGCTTAGAAAGGAAAATGGGTTCCTTTTCTTATAAAAAGAAGGAACACATTTCCTTTTATTAAAGTATATATAAAAAAGGGCAGATTTTTTATGTTCGCAATGTTTATCCTTTTCTTGAACGGTTTGAATAGTTTAAATGACTGATTTGAGGGGAAGGGGCAAAATCGTGTTGACATTTTTTGTACTTCTTAGAATACATTTAGCTTTAAAGATGTGTTTTGCTCAATGTTAATTCATTCCTCTTTGAAAAACTTCGTCCGATAAAAGATACTAAAAATTAGACAACGGATTTCTGTGTAAAAAATTTAGACATGAAATCAGTTAAAAGCGCCTATATGAACCATTAAATGAATTCTTCTGTATGCCTGCTTATTTTTTTTTTATAGAAATACTTGGCAATTTCAGGACACAAAAAGTGCTTGAAAGAACTTCGAAATAGTAGTACAAACACATTAATCAATTGAATTGAAATAAATAATGGGATGTAATTTAAAAGACAGAAATAATTTAATGTAAGAGATTTAGATTTAAAAATTTGCACACACAAATGATTTATCAGATTTTATAAGGTTTTTATTCCATAAATAACTTTGATATTGAATATGGCATTTTAACCTATAAACATGAGTGGATACTGAAAAAGTGATGAATATATAAGAATATTACGAGTTTCACTAATTTTTCTTATTGACTAATAAATTCTGACAGTCCAATGCTATAAGACTAGGGTCTAAGTTTGCATAAAAATTCCTCTGTTAAATAAAAGAATTTAATTAATTTCTGTAGCCTTTTTGTCAATACACTAAAGTTTTTTTTCAACTAATATTACTCGTCCTCGCTTTGCAATTAGAACCATCATTAAATCCTTATTTTATCTAATCATTTTCCTGAACATTATCATGTATATAGATTGACTCCTCTTTGTAACTGATAATTATTACTCGTACTTGCAAATTATTCTTTGTACTATTAACAACGCTTTCTATTGCTGAGTTAGAAATAACAACCTCCTTCTCTACCGCCTGCCTTACGGAAATCGGCGCAAAATGCGGAATCGGGCTGATTGGGTGCATGCGCGAACGTAGGTGGTGTGAATAGCCTGTTAGCTATTCACACCGTCGGTGCGATTAGCCACTGCGACAATGCAACGTGAAATATCTTCACTCGTCCACCTGATTTTTTCCTTCTTTTTCAGTAATGCATTAATCTACGTCTTTATAAAAATAGGCTTTAGACATTTTCCCAAAATTCTCCGATTTGTGCTTCCCCCCCAAATTTCGCTATTTGAGATTTTAAGGCCTCATTCAATTGAAACAGCGATGATCGCTCAAACAGCGATCGTTGTATCCAGCATTAGCGATCACTTTTGAAAACGAGTGATTTTTCGTATTCATTGGAAACACTTCCCTACCAGTCGACTCGTAGGGGTTGCCAGAGGTTACTTGATGCGCGATGCTGTTTGTCACGTGGTCGGAAGTCGCGTTTGTATCGAAATAACCAATGAAAGAGCTACCAGATGTGCAGGTTGACTCCTCGTAACCATTCTTTAGGGTTGCAGTTCACGTTTCGTGTGCCATCTTTGGCTTTTCAGCGCTATTGTTTCAAAGTTTTATCTATGAAAATTCTTCAAAGGTATTATTTTATTTTAATTCTTTTATGAAAACAGCTAACCTAAAAGACACATTCCATTCACATAAATCATATACATGTGAAAAATATAGGTCAAGTAATTTTTGAATACTGAAAAAAAAAGTGATTCAAAAGACCTTTTAAAGCAAAAGAAAAGAAAAATGTACCTAGTTCTATTAACAACTCAAAAATACATATAAGACTCTAATGTTCTATATACTATAAGACTCTAATGTTCTACTATAAGACTCTAATGTTCATAACTATATAATAAACGCCAACACATATCACATCATGGTACATAACACTGCTATGAAAGGAAGACTTTGTAATTAGAAACATACCTTTTATATTTATTTGATAACATAGACGAATAAAATATAAAGATGACAAGAAGTTATGAAAACACGTTATGCAACTTAAGAAACAGTAAGAAGCCTTTTAAGTTATTGCAATATCATAAGGCACTGATTAGGAAGTAAATATCATTTTTTCATTCTTTTACATCAGTAATACTTTTTTTCATTAAAAACTTTAGCAGTGAAAGCCAAAACAGATTTATCATTGGCGCCTCTGATGCAAGGTCACACAAAAAAACAAAAATAAACTTGATTTAGCAAATTTCTAAAACATTAAAATCAAAAATAGTAAATTACAGTAACATATATTATTAAATTATTTTAATTACACATAAAAAATTGTCTGAATTAAATTAAGAATCACTGACTAAGCTTGTACAACATTTTAAAAACATATTTATGTTGATACATTGGAAATAAATTGACAGCAATCGCAGTTAAATGAAAGAGCTGGAAATACAGTCTACATGATGTATAAATACAGTCAAAATTATTCGTTAAATACCTAAATTGATGCTTACCTTCTTCAAAATGAATATAAATACGATATATTAATGTTACTTTAAGGGAAACATTATATAATGCATAATTTCAATCATATTATCCAATGTTTACATTTTTTTTTTTTTTTTTTTTTTTTACATTGGAGGCCGACTGACAGATTTGGCGACAATATAATAAGGTCAAAAAATAACATACGATTTTAAACCATGAATCCCGCATTAAAATTTAAATAAAAAGTGCACTTCGTAGTTATAATCACGCACAAAATTGAAATCAAATGTATAATAGTGTTACGAATTTGGTATTTAAAAAGCTAATGTTAGTTCAATTATAAATTAAATGGTTTTATTCCTCGCGCAGTGCAGCGCGTGACAAATATTTAAGAAAGCTAAGCCGGAAAAATTAAAAATACAAGAGCGCGTGCGTTAAATAAATAAATTATTATTTGATTTCGAGAAAGTACTGGAAAATTCTAGCGCGTGATTTTAAAATCTTATAAAAGGAGGAAAACATCTCAGTTTGTAGGAGTTGCTTAGTTTGTTGTTGTTTAGAAAACTACTGTGTTGATTGTAGCGAATTCGTGGATTAGCGTTCTTTAGCTGGTTTTGAATTACGTTCTATTGGACATTTGAGTAGTTAAAAGAAAACTACTGTGAGATATTGTAATACTGCGTGATAATTTGAGAAAATTTAAGCATTTTTGTTGTGATAATAAATAAATTTTTGTTCATTTTTTTTCATCGGACTTGTGCATTCATTTCATCATCACGAACCCGTACGCACGCAACAATTTTTGGTGTCAGAAGTGGGATTTGAATGCCAATAACAAGAGCGATGGAAGAACAATTCAGGCAAATGATGACTGCATTTGCTGCT